AAACCTAAGCTTCGCAAACATTTCTATGTTCAGTCACGGGATATTCAACTCTTGTTTAATCAAACTTAATTAAAATGCAATTCTCCATTGTATTGCATTGTAATTGAGTTTAATTAAACTCCAATTAAAACGCAACCCTATATAGGAACGCGTTTTAATCGAGTTCATATCGCAACTATATTAAAAGTTAATTCAACTATATTAAAAGTTAATCCAATGAAGTCCTCGGAACATATAGCAATACAAGTATGTGTGTGTGTGTGTGTGTGTGTGTGTGTGTGTTCTACTGGTATCTCAAGAACCAATCATCAACATTCAATAAAACATAGATTCTTAGGGATAATGCACATACCTTATTAGTGTTTGACTGCAATCTGTGCATATTAATTACTTAATAAAAAGTAGCATAGTGGTTGTTGCACCAGACTCATGATCGGTAGACCCAAGTTCAAATCCTACCTTAGGCTGAACTTCAAAGGGTCGACCCCTACCCTGGGTGAATGTGCCACAGACTCAATGGGCAGGCCAATTCCACTGGCCGAGATTCATTCACTAACGAATGCGACTTTGGGGGAACCTTGGTTAAGGTCCGCAGATGCTTGTGTTCGACCGAGCCTGGTTGATACCAGGATAGCGCATTACAAATTGCCATTTGACAGAGAGATGGCCACACAGCCCTGTCATGTAGTCCCAAACATGAATATGACTTCTGTGGCAATATGCACTATGTGTCGTCACTAGCACTTGCACTTAATTTGAATATTAATTTCCAAATTTCACTTTCAGTTCTGATAATACCTATTGCAGGTATACCTATAGCCAATGCTATAATTAAGACTCATTAATATGCATTAATATGCATAACTTTAATAGCTGATATAAAGCCAGACTTGTATTGAAGGCATTTGAAAAAAGCATAGCAATGTGAGCTCATTATTAATGCTAGAATATTAAATTCACTAAAATCCCCTGCATATGAGAATTTTTGTTAAAAAATATATGCTGTATAATGTACAAAACCTGTACATTCACTTCTTATATCAGAGCCTATGACACTCCTCTCAAAGCCTGTACATTACCTCTTTCTGTCAGAGCCTATGGCACTCGTCTCAAAACCTGTACATTTATTTTGTATGTCAAAACCTATAGCACTTATCTCAAACCTGTACACTCATATCTTATGTCAAGGCCTATGGAACTCTTCTCCAAAACCTGTTCATTCACTTCTTATGTTAAAGCCGATGACACTCCTCTCAAAGCCTGTACATTCACTTCATATGTTAAAGCCGATGACACTCCTCTCAAAGCCTGTACATTCTTTCTTTATATCAGAGCCTATGACACTCATCTCAAAGCCTGTACATTCCTTCTTTATATCAGAGCCTATGACACTCCTCTCAAAGCCTGTACATTCCTTCTTTATATCAGAGCCTATGACACTCCTCCCAAAACCTGTACATTCTTTCTTTATATCAGAGCCTATGACACTCCTCTCAAAGCCTGTACATTCT